ATCTCGGCTCACCGCAACCTCCGCCTCCTGGGTTCAGGCAATTCTCCTGCCTCAGCCTCCTGAGTAGCTGGGATTACAGGCACGCACCACCATGCCCAGCTAATTTTTGTATTTTTAGTAGAGACGGGGTTTCACCATGTTGACCAGGATGGTCTCGAGCTCTTGACCTCGTGATCCACCCGCCCCGGCCTCCCAAAGTGCTGGGATTACAGGCGTGAGCCACCGCGCCCGGCCCAACACTAGTATTTAACAAACATTTGAGGGTTGGAAAACTAGTTTTGTCACATTCTGACTATAAAGAGCTTATAATACCTTTTAGAAGAACTGTAAATCCTAACACATACCTGAAAACAAGCTTGGACAAGGCCGGGCATGGTGGCTCGCGCCTGTAATCCCAGCACTTTGGGAGGCCGGGGCGGGTGGATCACGAGGTCAAGAGCTCGAGACCATCCTGGTCAACATGGTGAAACCCCATCTTAAAAAAACAAAAAACAAAACAAAAAAACAAAACAAAACAAACAAACAAAAAAAAAAAACAAGCTTGGACAAAGCCAAAAGATAAGAAATCCTATCTGGGTGTGTAACCCAAAAGAGTCAGTTGGTCTCTGTGTTTCAGTTTCCTTATCTGAGAAACGGGCACAAGAAAACAGACATTACAGCCTATTTGTTTGGTCTACCTATGCCAAAGCTTTGAGAAGATCAAATTTATGAAATAATCCACTCACTTAAATGTTTACTGACTGCCTATTCTATGCCAGGCAAAGAAAAGAACAAAAGAGACAAAATCCCTGCCACTGTTAAGTTTACATACTAATGCAGAAATCCAGGCAGCAAATAAACAAGTAAGCATGTAATATGTCAAACAATAGTAAATGTTAACCAAAAAAAAAAGTAAATGTTATCCAATACAATACTGTAAGTCATACAGTACTTTTGAGAGGAATTTGGCAAAATACAGGCAAACTGAAGGAAAGTATACAACCCAGCAATTCCAGTCCAGGTGTCAATCCCAAAACCCTCTTTGCTATATGCACAAGGATGCATATACACAGATATTCACTGTAGCAATGAATGTTTTATTCATACAATTAAATAATACATTGCAAATAATAGGTTTATTACATAGCTGCAAGGGTCACCACTTACATTAAACTAGTTAAAATGAAGAAATCAGGTCTCCCTCTATTAACACAGATAAACAAAAGTTTAGGAAAAAGATGGAAAAAGGGAAATACCAAAGATACTATGTGTTTCAAATATAAAGACATGCAAACAACAGTATACATATTGTTTATGAATACCTCATCTGCTGTAAATGTACAAAAGCATGTATGGGAAGGATAAACATTGACTTCAGGATAATATTTACCTGGGGAGCAGAGAGGGCAAGAAAGTTGGATGTATCTGAGATGTTTTATTTCTTTAAAGAGGAAGAGAGAGAAAAAACCCTGAAGCAAATATAACAAAATTAACACCTGTTAATTTCTGAAGGCAACTACACACATAAGGATCTGTTATAATACTCTTCTGAGTATTTTGAGATTTTCATAACTAAAAACTTGAAATTAAAAAGAACCCCTGACATTTAGCACATTTAAAAAAATATATGTGTTAAAGCATTTTAGAAGCCATAAACCTCTCCACGAAGTTATCAATATTACCAGCCTCATCAGTAGTCGCAAACTTTTAACCTGGAACCAGCCTCTCCCCTCTCCTTCAACTGAATACTTCCTTGAGGTGAAAACTATCACCTATGTCTACATGTACATAATTATTCTACTTCATTAACACCAATAGTAGAAACTGACCATAATAACAATTTTGCTGATTCCCTAACATGTAACAGTTCTACTCTGCATTTCTTTTTTTTATTTTTTGAGACAGCCTCACTTTGTCGCCAGGGGCCAGGCTAGAGTGCAGTGGCATGATCTCGACTCGCTGCAACCTTCGCCTCCCGGGTTCAAGCAATTCTTCTGCCTCAGCCTCACAAGTAGCTGGGACTACAGGCGCACACCACCACGCCCAGCTAATTTTTGTATTTTAGTAGAGATGGGTTTCATCATGTTGGCCAGGATGGTCTTGATCTCTTGACCTTGAGATCCGCCCGCCTCAGCCTCACAAAGCGCTGGGATTACAGGTGTGAGCCACCATGCCCAGCCTCTACTCTGCTTTTCTACTTGGCTTTATATAGTTCTTGGTGAGAACAGCTAATAGATGCTCAAAAACAAAAGACTAGAAAACCACAATGACAGATAACTAGCAAGAGATATACCATGCCAAATCTAATGCAAGACAAGGTGGGGGAAGGGTGGGCGGGAGGGGCTTGCTACATAATCCTTCATCAGTCACTCAAAAGCTTTAGAAGCAGAGAACCTTTCCCTGCCCCACACACGTAGCTAATATAGGCAAACACCAAGCCCTTGAAATGGCAAAGAAAAGGAATTAATAGTTAAAACTTGGAAAACAGTCTGAGAGCAGTGCTCCCATCTACAAGAAAACAAATAAATAGGCATTTGGCTATCTTGAAATAACAAGACAAAAGCAGGTAGCCAATATGCATGCAGAAGACAGACTAGGCCAAACCTGCTATTACCTTTCTGTAAAATTGGTAACAGGAAAAAGAACAGTGGGCTCTATCAAAAGCCCTGAAAGGTATAAAGTCAATTAATAATGGTAGCAAGTTGTTACCAGTAACTGCTACCCATTGTTGAGTTCATACTGTGTTCTATCATCCTAACTCATACCTCTCTCATTCTGTATACCTCTGTCAAGTTATTTTATGGTATGCCTGTTCTCATTCCCCTAAATAATAAGAGTCCAACTAGATAGTTTGTATCTAGTTCAATTTTGTATCTTCTGTAATAGATTCTTTTTTTTTTTTTGGGGGGGGGGGGTGCGGGGGATGGAGTCTTGTGTAGCCCAGGCTGGAGTGCAGTGGCGCAGTATCGGCTCACCGCATGTAGCCTCCACCTCCTGGGTTCAAGTGATTCTCATGATTTGCAGCCTCCTGAGTAGCTGGACTACAGGCATACGCCACCACACTTGGCTAATTTTTTGTATTTTTAGTAGAGATGGGGTTTCACCACATTGGCCAGGCTGGTCTTGAACTCCTGACCTCAAGTGATCCTCCTTCCTGGGCCTCTAGAAGTGCTGGGATAACAGGTGTAAGCCACTGCATCCAATTGTGTATCTTGCGTATGCAAGATATTCTACCTAAGACCTTGCTTATAGCTGATTCCCAGCAAATGTTTGTGTTATTCAACTGAATAATACATTTTCCTGCAAACTAAAACCACAAAGAGATACAATTTCACACTCACTGTGATGGCTATAATCTAAAACAGACAATAAATTCTGGTGAGGATGTAAAGACACAGGAAACCACATGCATTGCCAGTAGGAATGTAAAAGAGTACAGCCATTTTGGAAGACAGCTTGGCAGTTTCTTTAAAAGTTAAACATGCTGCCGGGCGCGGTGGCTCACACCTGTAATCCCAGCACTTTGGGAGGCCGAGGCGGGTGGGTCACGAGGTCAAGAGATCAAGACCATCCTGGTCAACATGGTGAAACACCGTCTCTACTAAAAATACAAAAATTAGCTGGGCATGGTGGCGCACGCCTGTAGTCCCAGCTGCTCAGGAGGCTGAGGCAGGAGAATTGCCTGAACCCAGGAGGCGGAGGTTGCGGTGAGCCGAGATCGCGCCATTGCACTCCAGCCTGGGTAACAAGAGCGAAACTCCGTCTCAAAAAAAAAAAAAAAAAAAAGTTAAACATGCTTACTGTACAACTCAGCAATTCCCTTCCTAGGTATACACACAAGAGAAATGAAAACATAAACCCACACAAAGACTGGTATGAAAATATTCATGTCAACTTTATTTATAATAGTGAAAAAGTAAAAACCACTCAAATGTCTATCAACTGGCTTAATATTTAAACAAAATACATGACATATCCATACAACAGAATATTCAGCAATAAAAAAGAATGAAGTACTGATACATGCCACAACACAGATGAACCAAAAAATATTAAGCTAGGTGAAAAAAGCCAAATACAAAATACCATCTATCATAGGATTCCATTTATACGAAATGTCCAGAATAGGCAAATCTATAAAGACAGAAAATAAATTAGTGGTTGCCTGAGGCTGGTGATGAAAATGGGCAATAACTGTAAATGAACAAGAGGGATGTTACTTGGATGATGAAAATGTCCCCAAACTACATTATGGTGACTGTACAACTCATAAAAATCAGTAAATTACACAATGAAAATAAGTTGATTTGATGGTATGTAAATTACACCTCAGTAAAGTTTCTTTTTGTTTTTTTTTTAAATGAATGCATTTTCCTAAAGTAAGCAAAAACGTTTAGCCGGCCAGGTCAGGTGTGGTGGCTCATGCCTGTAATCCCAGCACTTTGGGAAGTGGGCGGATCACCAAAGGTCAGGAGTTCGAGATCCGCCTGGCTAACATGGTGAAACCCCGTCTCTACTAAATATGCAAAATTAGCTGGGCGTGGTGGTAAGTGTCTGTAATCCCAGCTACTCGGGAGGCTGGGGTGGGAGAATCACTCGAACCAGGCAGAGGATGCAGTGAGCCGGGATCATGTCACTGCATTCCAGCCTGGGCAACAGTGAGACTCAGTCTCCAAAAAAAAAAAAAAAAAAAAAATTACTTAGCTAACTACAGAGAAGGGAAAGATACAGAATAGAGGGAGCAGAGATAGAAGCTAGACTTCTCTGAACACACCTCGTATTTAACTTTTTAAAATTTCCTTCTGGAACAATGTAAATGATCTGCATAATGTAAGATAAAATTGAAAGGGAAAAAGCAGCCCCTTAAAACTGAAAGGAAATAGAAACAAATGAACCTTAATTGTGTTTTGAATTTGTGGCTTAACAACAACCGAGAGAAATTATTTCAAGTGACTTTAAAATATAGTAATTTGTGGCTGGCCCCAGTGGCTAATGCCTATAACGCCAGAACTTTAGGAGACTGAGGCAGGAGAATGGCTTGAGCCCAGGAGTTCAAGATCAGCCTGGACAACATAGTGAGACCCTGTCTGCTTTTTCAAAATAATAAATAAAATAAAATACAATTATTTGCACATCCTTAGAAAACATACACTAAGGACAAAAAGAACTGCAATGAAATAATAAACTTCAAAGTAATCATATTGCTAATAACATTCATATTGTTACTTAGATTCATATATATTACAAATAATATGTATCATTTTATAGATCTATGTGTGTATAGGAGAAAAGTAACCACAATACTGTTAAGATCAAGATTTGCAGTATAAGAAAAAAAGAGATACAAATAGAAAGTCAAAGAAGTTAAATAAAACCCTGTAATCCTAAATTTGAATTAGAAATATCAGTACAAATTCATGTTTTTTTGTTTGTTTTAAGAAATAATACAAGTATTGCCTAGCTCTGTCCATAAAAAAAGCCTAGAAATAATGGGCAACCTAGGAGCATTCAGACTATAGTCAATAAATAGAGAACCAGTTCCTTGGAGAAATTAAGAATTTCAGGCTTGGGACAGAAAATATTAAAAAAGAGCCTGGAACACCTCATCACACAAGAAATAAAGGAAATTATTAAAGACCCCTACGGTCATGCCAAAGGACTCAGAGTTAACTTGAAAGCCTCTTTACAGCCAAAGATGGAGCTATTTGATTTTATTAAGAAGAATAATGGCCAGGCACAGTGGCTCACACCTGTACTCTCAGCACTTTGGGAGGCCAAGGCAGGCGAATCACGAGGTCAGGAGATCAAGACCATCCTGGCTAACAAAGTGAAACCTCGTCTCTATTTAAAAAAGAAGAAGAAAGAAGAAAGAAGAAGAAGAGGAAGAAGAAGAAATAAGAAAGAAGGAGGAAGAAGGAGAAGAAGAACAACAACAACTCTATTTGATTGGAACAAAATTAAGTCTGTTTAAAAATTCATGAGTCACAGTGATACTAAAAAAAATAATGTTGAACAAAGAAACTATCATTGGTTACCTTTGCAGAATCTTAGGGAACCAACTAATTATTTTGAAAACTACTAAACAGAAAGAAATAAAATTTTTAAATGCTCCAAGAAAATGTTTTGTTTTGTTTTTTTTCCTGGCCGGGCATAGAGGCTCACACCTGTAATCCTAGCACTTTGGGAGGCCAAAGCGGGCGGATCACCTGAGGTCAGGAGTTCGAGATCAGCCTGACCAACATGGAGAAACCCCGTCTCTACTAGAAATGCAAAATAAGCTAGGTGTGGTGGTGCATACCTATAATCCCAGCTACTTGAGAGGCTGAGGCAGGAGAATCGCTGGAACCTGGAAGGTGGAGTTTGGGGTAAGCTGAGACCATGCCATTGAACTCCAGCCTGAGAAACAAAAGTGAAATTCCATCTCCAAAAAAAAAAAAAAGTACTTTTTTTCTCTTTAAACACTTGTTATGGCCTGGTATGAACACTTGTTATGGCCTGGTATGGTGGCTCATGCATGTAATCCCAGCACTTTGGGAGGCCGAGGTGGGTGGATCACTTTAGATCAGGAGTTTGAGACCAGCCTGGCCAACATGGGGAAACCCCGTCTCTACTAAAAACACTTAAATCAGCCAGGCATGGTGGTGGGTGTCTGTAATCCCAGCTGCTTGGAAGGCTGAGGCAGAAGAACCACTTGAACCCAGGAGGCAGAGATTGCAATGAGCCAAGACTACACTATTGTACTCCAGCCTGGGCAACAAGAGTGAAACTCCAACAAGAAAGAAAGAAAGAAAGAAAGAAAGAAAGAAAGAAAGGAAAGGAGGGGGGAGGAGGGAGGAAGGAAGAAAGGAAGGAAGGGAGGGAGGGATGGAGGGAGGGGGAGGGAGGGAGGGAATTTAGTTGTAGTTGGGGTAAACAGAAACAGTTAATAAGTTCTCCTTACCTCACACCTATGAGACTAACATTGGGCACTCACAGTGAGGGCAGGTTTGTGGCCAAAAAACAAACACATTTCTCTAAAAGCTCCTTTGTTCGTAAGAGTTCCAAAAGGATAACTGCAGTCTTCCATGAAAGCTCAACAAAGTTTCCCATCCTGCCAGGGCACACCTGCCAAGTTCATGTTCCTGCTTATCTCTATGCCCTGAGCTTGCCTGAGAATACCCTGTGGCTCCACAAAAATACATGTTACCACCATACAATCCTAGCCCTACCCAGGCTGATAACTTGGTTCCAAACTAGAGCCTCAAGAAACAAGCCTGAGCACTCAGATTTTTCTCTCAGGAATTTGGGGAGACCTGTTGTTCTATCTTTAACCAGCAGGTAGCACCAACTCCCCAGCTAGGATGTTTCCTTGGCCTCATCCCTGGAGTCAGCACTTTGCCTTCTATTCCCACTTGCTGAGGGAGTGCTCCTTCTAATCCATCAGCCTTGTGTGCAGCAACAGTTATCAGAGAGCTGTCTGAGAAATAGCTTTGTTTGGTTGAGCTAAAAGGGATGTAAAAGAGCGGTCTTTTTATAAAAATAGGGCTGTATTTTTCCAATAGCAATTCAGATCTAAAGAGGATTTGCCTTCTTAGGAGGAAGGCCACGTGACCATGTGAACATTCTTCAAGTTGCTCTTGGTGTGATGGCTGCTACAAAGTTGTGCTTGCCAGCACATATACAAACCCAGAAACTAAAGTGTTCTAATTAACGAGGCTTGTTTAAAGGTTATTAGAGATGAAGAAAAGTCTACATTAGAGAAGGGTTATGAACCTTCACTCCATCCTTCTAAAGCATTAACAGCAATAGCTTTTCTCAACCCTCATAATCTGAGTCCTTCAAGACCCTCATTTTGATTCAGCTGAGCAAAGAGGCCTCTAATAACCTGAGGCCAGGGCCAAACCACAAATGGGTAAAAAAATCCCTCCATTTCATTAAGCAAAGAATTAGGAAGTTCTGGGTTTACAATACAATAGCTTGTCTCCAGACCAATCTTAATTTCCTTTCCATCTCCCATCCACCTTTGTTCACTTCAAAATAGAGAGAAGACTCAATGCCGTCTGTGAAAAGCAGTGCAACTTTCTAGGCCATGTCCAAACCAAGCAACAGAAATCCCATACTTCATAGACCCTACCTGGAAATGCAAAATAATGGTCCAGATCAGACCCAGGGTCAACTTGGGGTTGCCATCTGTGATGTCATCATTGCGAATATTCACTAGTTTCACCTGTAAAGGAAACAAAAGCAAGGCTAGAGCTCTAGGACTTTTTGTTTTGATTCAATTTTTACATAATTTCATTTTTGATTTTCAGTTGAACTGATTTCTTTTTTGGTGTACAGTGAGTTTTAACACCTATATAGTTTCATGCAAGTACCACCACAAAACACTTTCGTCACCCCAAAAAGGTCCCTTGTGCTGGCCCCTCCTTGTAGGCAAACCCTACCCTCACCTCTAATTCCCGACAACCACTGATTAGATCCTGATCCCTTGTTTTGCTTTTTCCAGAGTGTTGGATAAATGGGATCATGCAGCATGCAACATTTTGAAACTGCCTTTTTATTTCACTCAGCATAACACCCTTGAAACTGCCATCCAAACTGTTGCATGTATCAATAGTTTGCTCCTTTTGATCACTGCGTAGTATTCACCATTACAGAGATGCTACTCTTTGTTCATCCGTTCATCCATTTAAGGATATGTGGAATATTTCTATTTTTTGGCAATTATGAATAAAGTTCCTATATTCATGTGCAGGTTTTTAGGTAAGAATAGTAATTTCTTTAGGGTACATTCCCAGGAGTAGGATTGCTGGGTTAAATGGTATATGTAATGCAAAAAAACATACCATATATGATATATGTTTGCTTTACAAGAAATCAGCAGTGTGGCTATGCCATTTTACATTCTCATCAGCAAAGCAACCTCGCAAGCACAAGGTATTGTGAGTCGCTTTTTTATCGCCATCAGGGCCAAGATTTCTCTTCTTTTATTTTCTTTTATCTTATTTTCTCTCTCTCTCTCTCTCTCTCTCCTCACTTTTTTATGGCCGTCAGGGCCAAGATTTCTCTTTTTTTTTTTCTTTCTTTTTTTTTGGTTCTGAGAGAGAAAGAAAAGAGAGATGCCTCTCTTCCCTCACCAGTCTTCGGCCTGCTCTCACCTCCATTATCCCATCCTTTGTCACAGATATACACGCCTGCCATGCCTCTGGCTTTACTCCAAAAATCTCATCCCAACAATACAATGTGCCCTGACATACCCTCACCCTAGGCTGACTTACTGCCCCTGTGTGCTGGGAACTGAGGCATTTCCTGGGATGTGGAACTTTAAAACTGGGAGTTCCTGGGCAAGCCATCCTACTTCTACTTCCTCCTTTGTCATACCCTCAGAGTCCTATGACACAGTGCCCTTCAGCTGTCCTCTCTTTATCTCTTCTATTGAACTGAAACTTGTGCGTCTCTAAAGGACCCTAGTGACCTTCTCATATGGAAGCCTCATTTCTCCCTCACACAGACATTCGTCTGGGCAAGTTTTTTCCCTTTTCAGTATCTTGGTCTCCTCTTCTATATGGTTAGGAGTGGGAGAACATGCCCCCTACCCGATAATTCCATTTTTTTTTTTTTTTTTTTTTTTTTTTTTTTTTTTTTTTTTTTTTTTACTCTTCTTACCCAGGCCGGAGTGCAATGGCGCGATCTCGGCTCACCGCAACCTCCGCCTCCTGGGTTCAGGCAATTCTCCTGCCTCAACCTCCTGAGTAGCTGGGATTACAGGCACGCACCACCATGCCCGGCTAATGTTTTGTATTTTTAGTAGAGACGGGGTTTCACCATGTTGACCAGGATGGTCTCGATCTCTTGACCTCGTGATCCACCCGCCTCGGCCTCCCACAGTGCTGGGATTACAGGCTTGAGCCACCGCGCCCGGCC